TAAATATATTAGCACAATCCCTGAGTAGAAAGGTCAAAGAAATTCTACATTTCAGAAAAAGATAATATAGAAGAAGAAAGACCCAGGACATTTCGTTTACTCTGACATCATCTTGTTCTCTAGACAATGTTCTAGCTGAATTTTCACACCCCTTCCTGGATACCTAAATTCCTACATACAATCTCTTTAATATGCACCACATACAACTTTAGATATGTAATAATTCTGCTCCAAAACTTCTATTTGTGTCTCTTTTGTGTAAAAGATACAAAGGCTTCCACAGTGTAGATTACAAACTATCTTTTTAAGTCTAATACCTTTTCTAAAAATAATTCTATACCACTGCAAACATTTCTATATATGGTTTCTTCAACATACATGCATATATACCCATTTCTATCTTTACCTTTCAAAATACTTTCCTTGCCATGGAAATCTGGACTCCTTATTTCTAAATATACCTTACTAGCTCTTCCAGGTGACTAGTTCTTATTTCCCCAGTTTTTATGGATTGACTCATTCCTGAAATTCTGTATCACATAAAGTTTATATTCTGTTTGTCACAGAGATAGCTCTAAGTTTACTTTTTTAAATGTAGTTTGCTATTCTTAACGTATATATTTTATCCCCACAACTACATCCTAAATCCCTCATGAATAGGGACAATGTCATTCTCACACTGTGGTATTTCCAATCCATAGCACATACACTTACTCATAAATAGTTCTCAATAGAAGTCTGCAGATGATTGAGGTAACTATTTTATGCTTTTGATGTAAATACTATGTTGACACAAAGCCAAGTAGTATTGACTATTTGTGTATAATAGACAAATAGGAGTGAATCTTAAGCCATTCAGAAGCTCTGAGATTCAGGGGTCTCCAAATAAAAGCCATAATGTTTAAAATGCAGGTCAAAACTCTGAAATGAGCCCATATCTAGAGTTAACACAGGGATATAAAAAATGATGTATTAGATGATTCCGTTGCCATGTATATTAAAAATGTTATATACTCACGAGGTTTAAAGCAACTTCTAGATAACATTCTTGAAGATAAAGCCAACTGCCTTCCACTTAGCACAAAAGTTCAAAAGCTCTGATATATTATAGTTGTGATGGTTCTTAAATCACAAAAAATGATCCCAAAGTTCAGTATAAATGATACTTTCTTCTATTTTTTGTTTATCATGAAATGATTTTTATCTCAGCTGAGAAGAGGTATGAAGTCACTTCTCAATAACTAGCTCAAACATTTCTTACTCTGGAAATCCATCTCCAAACCATTTCAGAATTAGTCATTCCTTCCAATGTACTCCAAAAACACAAGCTGCCTTTATTTTAATACTTATTAAAATTTTATTTCATAATTTGTCCACATTTCTATAATTTACACTAGCCTAAAGATTTCTTAGGAATATTCTTCTTCTCTTGTTTTTTTTTTAATATTTATTTTTTTTTAATTATCGGCGGACACAGCATCTTTGTTTGTACGTGGTGCTGAGGATCGAACCAGGGCCGCACGCATGCCAGGCGAGCGTGCTACCGCTTGAGCCACATCCCCAGCCCCATTCTCTTGTTTTTTTATATTTGTTTGCTTTCTTAAGGCTAAGAAACTTGCACATTAAAAATGTTCCATAAATGTTTATTAAATGTATGTTTTAAGAGCATATGGAAGTTTGAAACTTCTACCACCTGATTCTGGGGATTTATTCCATCGGATGCATCTGTCAAGCTTAAAGCAAACAGAAGTTCATAGAGCCAATAAATGAAGTGAGCAGTTGCAACAGAGAGACTGAAACAACCTGCTTAAAAGGTTTTATCATACTTCCTTTGACTTTGTAATTCTCAAAGAGCACATTTGACATTCCTAATAAAGATTTACTGAATAAATGTTATATTCTGCTCTGACCATGTAGTTGCAGAAGCAAAGGATTAGCATCAGATATTGCCACTGAAAACATGTTAGAAAAGCAGGAAGCTATGCTATATACTATGTATTCTGGCTGTATTGAAATTCTGATGGTTTTGTTGCTTCCAAGTTGCTGCAGCTATAGAAACAAAACAACTCAGAAAAGTGTTTGAAGACTCACTCAACTCTGAATTCTTTTTTATATAACACCCTCACAAGTTATAAATAAGATTATGTGATTGCCACAAAGGTTATAAATTTATATGTGATATTACAATAAAATGACCTCAATACAAAGCATGTGAAATCCAATATTCAATGAAACTGTAGGTATTCAGGGTACCATCTCATTTGTCTTTGGGCTAAAGAATGTAGGCAATAGTATTAGCAGATACATGTTAATGGGAACATCAACATCTATTTGCAGGTGGGCACTTTTTCAGACTTACCAATAGTATTTCTATAATATCAGTTTACTCACCAATAGTATAAATGGCATTCTACCAATCAGAATCATGAATAATTATAAAGCTTTTGGTACTAAACTGTACCAGATGGCTTAACTATAGAGATTAAAATGAATGGTATTATATTTCTCAGACATCTGGGTGCTTTTAACAACATATGGAGCTAGGACTAGCACTCCCAGTATTTTTTAATGGCAAAATCATTAACATTTGCAAAAGAAAATTTCTAATATGGTAGCATTTTATCCACATTCATTGTTAAGACTTTTTACAGTTTTCTTAATATCAATTTATGCAAAGTGTTTACATATATACTGAGTAGTTAATAATATGTATGTGATATGAATTTTTATAGGAAAAACTGTATGAATTGAAAAGAGAAAAGAAAGCAAAAGAGTAAAGTATAATTTAACCTTGTTAAAAATATAGAATCCTTATTAGCTGAATGTTTGAGAGACTGAGTCTCTCTCGAAAATCATGATAACTGACCATTTACTTCATATTGGATTTATTTTCATATTTCGCACTTAAGAGAGTGGTTTGAGATATTTACAGACTTGATACCACCTGCCTCTGTCACCCTCCAGTTCATTTATTTATTTATTTTCTCAAAGTCCCAGAATTTACCTGATTAGGCAACAATTGAAGGGTCATATCTCTAATGTTCTTATAGGTTGTAACAAACCATTATAAATGAATTTTTTTAATTAGACAAGATTCCTCCAAATAACTTTAATAAGAACTAAATAGGATTAGAAGTAATCTCTAAAGTTAAGTGTGACCATGAGAGTTCAGCTAAGATAATTTTGTAGCAATTGTCCAACCAATACATATTCTATGGCTAAATGACTGCATCAATACAATTTTAGCATTTCAATACATTTCAAACTGTGAAGACTTGAACACAAAGGTAGAAAAGAGAAAAGAAGTGGAAGGAAGGAACATAGAAAGAAGCCAGGAGGAAAAGAGGAAGTAAGAACAGAAAGGAAGAAGGGAAAGAGGAAAGGAGAAACTTAAAAGAGATGTGGAGAGGAAAAGAGAGGAAGAAAAGAAAGTTGCAAGAAGTGGAGCAGAGGAAGGTGGACATTTACTAAATCACATCCTTGTAGAGAAGGAGAAAGTTAAAAAGGGTTTTAAAGGAATCAGTGGGTATAAATTCTATTATTTAATAAGACATTAACAAATAGAGTTGATTCCCATATGTTGGCTAAGATAATAAATTTGTTTAATTCAGTTAGTAATACTAACAATTTATTTATACATTCTTTTGGGTTTTCAAAATACACAACTGGAAAACATTTAAAATGTATGTTGCTAACTTTCACTGGCTTTTGGAAATTCTCCTGTGGCATATTTTCAAATGCAGCTTCAATCTAATTCTCTCTTTCTTCTTCAGGGACTCTAATTGCTCATATTCTAGAGTTTTTTTTTTTTGTGATGCCCTACATATTTCTTGTGCGCATCATAAATTACCATCTTGATACTTTTTTTACTGATTTGTCTTCCAGACACTATCTGATGTTTCTAACATTCCATTACATTGATCAATTGAAATATTTACTCTAGTTATATGTTTTCTACCATTTTATTTTTTTGTGATTTGGGGTCTACACTAAAATCCTCCACAATTTTCACTATGATTTTGTACCACTAATTGCATTTTTACTGTTCTGATTGACACCCTGAAATCTCAATCACTAAGCGGTCTCTCTTTTATCTTTTTTTTTTTCTTTTCTAGTCCATGGTCCTATCACTCTTAGTTGTTTATTTTGTTTCAATCAAGTCTTTTCTTTGGATTAGATGCTGAACATTTTTTAAAATATTATATCAACTCTTGATAATATTACCTATTACCAAAGAACTTAACATGTTAGTTGATAAGCAGATAGAGAGGCTGTGAATCACCTTGATCTTTTCATAGCTGTTCTCTTTCATTTGACCTTTACTTACTGACTGCCTAACTATCTTTTGGCCATGGTGATCTTTTTAAGGATATATATCCTCTGTGGTCTAAAATCAAGTCTGAACCACACATCTGATGAAATCTCAGTTTAACATTTTAATGCTTTAATTTCAATCTGTGGCTAAAAATGACCATAACTATCATGGATTAATCTACTATCAAAGATCGAGTCATATGCATGATCACTCACATTCAGATCTATTGGTTTACATACGCTCATTTTCTTGTATGCTATTTTGCCTAACAGATGTATCTCTGCAAGGAGTGGAACCTAAATGTTTGCTTTCTCTTATCTATTCTTGTAATCATGCAAGCATACCCTTCTGTGAATCTGAATGCAGAATCATTATAAACAATGAAATCGAGAAGACATTTGTAGTACAATGATGTGGGGTTTAGGTGTGAAAAATTGATAAAGCAGAGTTCCTCAAAATAGAATGGAACAGAATGAGGCAAAGAATAAAACAAGAAGAGGGCTAGCCTTGCCATGGTATAGTAGAACTTCTTTCTCAGGAATAAAAATAAAGATAGAGGAGGAAGGATAAAATATAGCCAATGGAAAGTTGAGGAAGTGGTTTGAGAACAAAGCAAAGTGTGCACAGTAGGGACAGAGATAAATACATCTGATTGCATGATTACTGAAGTTTATTATGAGTTTACCTTGAGTCTGACAGCATGGAGTGAAGCTCATGAACATAGTGCTCAGGACTTGGGGTGATGCTGACTTCACACAAGAGAGCACAGCAGGAAAGGTAAGAGCAGACAATAGATGCACCATGCCTGTAACATGAAGGGAAGCAAAAATTATGGCATTTCTGTGACAGCTAAGCTAAGATCAATCATTGCCCACCAATAATAATTATGTTATGCTCCATTTAGAAAATATTTGGAATTTCCCAAATATACCAGCCAAACATAAACATAATAACACCAACCTAAGAAACAGAGAATTTAAGGGGTAATTAGTTACTAAAGAAGACACTGAAAAGCAGAAATCCTGAGGACCTTCTTTTAAAATTGTAATCAAAATGCTATTTAATCAACATGGAAGGTGATGGAAATGCAGAAAAGACAGATGAGATAATTTGGTCCAGAATCTATGAAGTCAGGTGGTTGATTTTTGGTTTTGGTTTTGGTTTTGCTTATTTCAATAAACAAAAGAAATAAATTTTTATTCTATAAGCAGCAATATAATGAAAAGAACGGGATTCATAATCCATCATATATAATGGCTTCTAGCTGGAAAAATGTAAAGAGTTTAAAATTTGTAAAACAGTATTAATAGTAACAGAATTTTAAGTAAAAATATTGAGCATTGCAGCTATAAGTTTTTGCGACTATGTGTTTAAATTAAAATTTAAAGTCCTATGTATTTCAGATACCAATGTTCATCCCAGAGACTTGATACAATGCATATTTTTCTTATTATAACTCTAGTTTCTATTGCTAATTTCCAGATGTATTATAAGTATGAATTATTCAACAATACATTATTCTACATTTAGCATGAAATACTTACTTTACTTTATAAAACACTGGATACACACTCATCTAAACTAAAATGGGCACAAAATTTAAATGTCACTTTCTTGTTATCTTGCCAATTGCATTGAACCAATAAATAGCTCTTTCAACTGTTGATTTTCAATTCATCCAGTTCTGACTTATATTTTCATTTTTTTTTCTGGCAGTAATTCCAAGACTGAACACTGGGAATGCTGAAAACAACACTGTCACACACATTGAGACATAAAGGAAATGCATTTCATGCCTTGCATCCTAGCAAAACCAGCCAATGACACTTTGTTTCAAGTTAGGTAAGACTAGCTGACCATGCCCTGAAGTTGATTTCGCTTCCTGACTATACAGATCTGTATAAATGAATGTCTCTATTCATTTATTCCTATTCATGAATTAGCTACAGAGAAAACATATTGTATTGAGATCACAAATTTTTTGAAAGTCTAAAAAAGACAATATGAAATATTTTGTATTTTAGAGTTAAATGTAATATATGGAAAGCTTTATGTATAATTACCAAAAACTTACAAATAATGCAAATGTCCTTCAACTACTTAGTGAGTACACACAATGTGGTACATCTGTATAATGGAGTAGCATCCAGCCAAAAAAAAAAAGGAAAACATTAGTGATTCACACTGCAACATGCGTGAACTTAAGACATAATATGCTGAGTTAAGAAGCAACACCCAACAGGCTACATATTGCATTATTCCATTTATATTACATTTTGGGAAAGGAAAAACTATAGAGACAGAAAACACATCAATAGTTGCTAGGAGTTAGAGGTAGATTGAATATTTTACTATAAAGGAACATAAGCAAATGTTTCAGAAGAGAAACAATCCCTATATATCTGATAATGGTGTAGCTTTCCTAATTGTATAGTTTTGCCAAAAATAATAAATTATGCATAAATGAGAATGAGTTTATTTCATATGAATTATACCTCTATATAATCATGATTTAAAAATACATCTTTGGGGGCTGGGGTTGTAGCTCGGTGGTAGAGCACTTACCTAGCATGTGTGAGTCACTGGGTTAGATATTCAGCACCCCATAAAAAATAAATAAATACAATAAAGGTATTGTGTCCATCTACAACTAAAAATAAAACAACAACAACACATCTTTGTTTCAGTGTCATCATGCATTTCTTGGTATGATGCTGTAAACAGGGCCTAGCACCACTTCTGGTTTTTTAACAAAAAGGTGATACTTTAACTAATCATGAGAACAAATTGACAACAAATTGAGGGGTAATCTGCAAAATAATTTCCAGTGCTTTGCAAAATATCAGGCCACAAAAGTCGGAAAAGCATGAAAGAATTGTTTCAGAATTGAGGAAAACAAGGAAAATTGACAACTAAATATAATTTTGAGTTCTGGACTGAATGCTGGACAAGAAAAAATACATTAGTAGGACAATAGGCAAATACAAGTAAGGTCATAGTACAACTAATGCCATACCATAATTCATAGTAAATACATTCAATAAATGACAATTTCACTTGTGATTATGTAGTATTTTATCATTAGAGAGAGATGACTTCCCCCCTGAAAATGCTGACTTTCAGATATTTCAAATTTAGCTCATAACTACTCACACAGGTAGCTTCAAAATATTCCGAAGGTTGATTAAAGTAATCAAAGAATGGGTTAAAAAATCTAAGTGAGGGTTGGGGTTGTAGCTCAGTGGTAGAGTGCTTGCCTCACATGTGTGAGGCACTGGGTTCGATCCTCAGCACCTCATAAAAATAAATAAACAAAATAAAGGTATTGTGTCCATTTACAACTAAAAATATGTTTCAAAAAATCTAAGTAAACCAGAGAACATAGCAATAAAATGCATCCTAGTCAAATCGCTCAAACCAAAGAAGAAAATCTGACTTGTAACCTCGGGAAACACACACACACACACACACACACACACACACACACACACACACACATTTTGTTTTCAAAGAAACAGCAATAACACTTACAGCTAATTAACAAAAATTATGAGACCCAAGGTACAAAAAAATAACATCTTTTAAAAAGCAGGCATCTAAACTTTCTTTTAAAATAAGATGCAAATACAAATGATTGCCTCTTTGAAGATATTCTACAAAATTGAGGGAAAAATAAAGATGTGCCTACACAGACAAAACTTGAGAGATTATGTTTGGTGCAGACCTTTGGAAATACTTTACAAAATTTTTTAAGCTGAATGAAAATGATCCCAGCTGGAAGCATGAAATTGCAAAGAAATAATAAATACACCTGAAAGATAGAAATATGACAGTTGAACATCTATTACCAACTAGAAATAACAATGCTTAAAAAGGTTTTATAATGCTTTTTGAGCACAGAAATGTTAACTATAACATAAAAGGCAGGCACAAATGAATGGATATTAACTAAAGTTTTTTTTTTTGCATTGTTCAGTAAGTAGGGAAAATTATAGATTTCATCTAGACCAATAAGATATTTACCATAAGTGTAGTTAACTAAGATAAGAAAAAAAGAAAGTATGTAAATCCAAAGTAAGATACAAATTGGATTTAGTAAAATAAAATAGCAGGAATTATATGTAAGTGTATACTCTAAATTAAAAACAAATACAATCATGAATACCATTAGCAATTATAGTCAGCCATTATTATACTCACATTACGTATAAGATGATATATTAGTTGAATTAAAAGAAAGGAAAATGAATATTATTCAAAAATGAAATAAAAGAAAGCTGATGTGATTTTATAAATACCAGAATGAGTAGATATGGAAGCAAGAAAGAGTACTTGAATTTTTGGAAGAAAAATGACATAATTATAAATATCAATTCAATGGAAAGATATGGTAATAATAATAATAACAAATGTATGTCAACCTAATAACAATTTTCAATATATAAACCAAACTGTGAAGAAATAGATAAGTTCACAATTAAAAGAATTTTTTTAAGTATTTATTTTTTAGTTGGACACAATACCTTTATTTATTTTTATGTGGTGCTGAGGATCGAACCCAGGGCGCGCACGTGCTAGGCAAGTGCTCTACTGCTGAGCCACAACCCCGGCCCCTTAAAAGAAATTTTTAAACATGCATATCATAGTAATATGAAGAATATATTGTATACATATCTATATACTAATTAAGAAGTCTTTAATAGTTATTAACACTGTTAACTAGGCTATTAGTAACACTATTAAGTGACATACTTGACAACTGTAAAATGCTATGCTCAAAAACGGCAAGTACATATTTTAATTTTCCTTGGAGCATATATTAAAATAGATCATAATCTAATCTGTCAAGCAAGACTGAATGAATTTCAAACAATTGAAATATTTGACCACAGTGGAATTTATCTAAAAAGTCTAGAACAAAAATATAACTACAAAATCTCTAAATATTTGTATCCAACACCCTTACAAATATGGTCTGGGCCAAAGAACTAATCCCCAGGGAGAAAAGGAAACATTTTTAACTGAATGATAATTGACTGCATCTTAAGCAGACTCAAAGAGAAATGGATAAATTATAAAAAAGGCTGAAAAACAATAAGCCTCCGTTTTAAGAATCAAGAAATAATAATAGCAAATTTGATTCAAATAAGTTAAAAACACTAAAAAAAGAATACTACAATAACTAATAAGATGAAAAAATACATACCATAAAGAAAATCAATAAATAACATTAACCCAATAGGATATGTTGGTAATAAACATAAATTATACCTTCACAGAGGATATCTAAATTTCTTAGATGTAAACATGAGTACTTCTCAACTCCTTTAATCAAGAGCGGTGAAATTTAATTCAAACATAATATAATTACAACCACTAAACTAAATAAAATGAAAGATGCAGACAATAGCAAATAATCTTGAGTATGTGGAGTACTAGAATTCTCACATATAGCCTGTTGGAGTGGAAATTAGTTTTGGAACACTGATGTTTGCCTAACATTGAATATAAAAATGTCTCATGATCCAGAAAATTCCATTTCAAAGTATCAGGCAAAAATTCAGAAATGCATTCTCCTACAAAGACATAGAGAAATATTCATTATTGCACTATTCATCATAGGAAAAACTGGAGACTACCCACATCCATTAATAGTGGTATGTATGTGTAAGTAAATTAGGGCATGGTCTCCCAGTGGAATATCATAGAGCAAATAGAATAAATGAACTCTGGTTACATAGAACAACATAGATTAACTGCATGGCCATAACATTGAACAAAAAGTACTCAATACAATGTAATGTT